TCACCCCGCCACCCCGACACCCCCCATCAACCCATCACCTCATAACCCTTCATCAACCCATCACCCCCATAACCCCTCATCAACCCGTCACCTCATAACCCCTCATCAACCCATCACCTCATAACCCTTCATCAAACAATCACCCACATAACCCCTCATCACCCCGTCACCCCATAACCCTTCATCAACCCATTACCTCATAACCCTTCATCAACCCATTACCTCATAACCCTTCATCAACCCATCCCCCCCATAACCACTCATCACCCCACCACCCCATAACCCTTCATCAACCGATCACCCCCATAACCCCTCATCACCCCATCACCCCATAACCCTTCATCAAGCCATCACCCCTATAACCCCTCATCACCCCATAACCCTTCATCAACCCGTCACCCCCATCACCCCTCATCACCCTGTCACCCCATAACCCTTCATCAACCCATCACCCCCATAACCCCTCATCACCCCATCACCCCCATAACCCCTCATCACCCCACCACCCCATAACCCTTCATCAACCGATCACCCCCATAACCCCTCATCACCCCATCACCCCCATAACCCCTCATCACCCCACCACCCCATAACCCTTCATCAACCCATTACCTCATAACCCTTCATCAACCCATCACCCCCATAACCCCTCATCACCCCATCACCCCCATAACCCCTCCTCACCCCGTCACCTCATAACCCTTCATCAACCCATCACCCCCATAACCCCTCATCACTCCATCCAATGTTATTAAAAATTGGCTTTAGATAAACTTTAATGCTCAAAACAAAAACCACATTCCATCTCCTACCCTTTTCCTGGTGGCAGAAAACACATCTGCAGAAGAAACGCCAAAGCAACCAAAGACAGCCAAGATGTCTCTTCCTGCCCCAGCGCCATTGGGGGCTATCTCTGGGACCTGCAGAAGAAAGGAAACATGGCGGGCTCTCATTTAATAAAATGCCATTTGCTCTCAACACATAAATAAAAATATAACAATAAGATGAATTGAAATTAAAAAAAAGGTATACAATAAATATAATAATTTGATCCATTCCATGTAATACCACATTATGGCCACTAGATGGAGCATAGAAAATAAATACTTATCTCCCATGCTTCTTTAGCGCCATCTTGTGGCCATAATGTGATATTACATAAAAAACATTCAAAAATACAATCGCTTGTAAAGAAACGACTAAAGAAGGTTCATTTTGGAGTATATACCTGTACAGAGCGAATGTTCACAGATATTTGTTCAAATATAGACCCCCTGCATGTTTGCTGGTATCTGTGGCCTCAATGAGGAGATTCACCCCTCTATATGTCCTGGTGGCCATTGTCACACAATAGAGAATGAGGGCCAATTCAAAAATGTCAAGATGTCACCGGATCAAACGCTGAGGGAAGTTCTCCAACCTGTTGGGTGGGACACATGTTCCTGGGACAACACTCAATATCCAAGCCCTGATGAAGGGGGGAGAATTAAGGATTTTTATTGTGACTTCCTTCGCGCGAAATAAAGATTTACTGGACTTACACTTTATCTGTGGCACCATCTCCACACTTTTTAGACTACTTTGGGGACCCCAAAGGATACCCCCATTGACCGAGAGCTGCCTCAAAAATGTAGATCTAAAGTCTTCGGGGTCCATTTATAAACAATTCACAAAGGCATTCGTCCTGCGAAACTCTGTGAATGTTCGTTCTGTGCGAACGGAGGCAAAAACAAACCTTCTTAGTATATTTTCTTTTAAGGTCGAATGTAATCTTAGGAAAATACCTCATTATGGCCTCTAGATGGAGCAGAGGAGCATAAGAAATAAAGATTTAATGTATTGAGATGTAATGCCTCATTATGGCCACCGGATGGAGCAGAGGAAATAAACACTTATTTCCTATGCTGCTCACCTCCATCTAGTGGCCATAATGAGGTATTACATCTCAACACATTAAATCTTGATTTCTTATGCTCCTCTGCTCCATCTAGAGGCCATAATGAGGTATTACATCTCAACACATTAAATCTTGATTTCTTATGCTCCTCTGCTCCATCTAGAGGCCATAATGAGGTATTACATCTCAATACATTCGACCTGAAAAGAAAATAAAGAGTGTGTAAACCCTCAGATTGGACTTTTGTTTAGAGGCATTTTATAAATTGTAAATAGATAGATAGATAGATAGATAGATAGATAGATAGATAGATAGATAGATATTGTATTTTATATGGGAATAATATATAACTGGGGTGGATATAAGTGATTTCCCCATTCACCGTAGAGCGTTCCGTATAATATCTGCCGTGTTGCTATATATAGTTCTGATGTGCACTTAGTGAAGACGCTTAAAATAAGCCTCAGCTCCGCAGATTATCACTCACAGCAGATGTTTTCTGGAGTCCGGTGTTCATGAAGTCTACCCAGGGCCACCAGGTTCCTCAGAATTTCCTATCGATGTTGTGAATGGCGGGTGTGACACTTTCCATGATATACTTAATTTCTGTGTTTGCACCACCCTTCAAATTTCAGCAGGCTAGCAGATTCCTGTGCGGAAACACTGACAGCAGACGCAGCGTTCCATTATTCCTCCAAACTTTGTGTGCAGGCCTCGGAAACCTCCTCTGACACTTCCCCACTGTGCACAGAGACATGAAATGGCCTCGCCATCCCTCCCCCACAGGCACACATCAGCTGCAATTTCAAGGTCCGCTGGTTTCTGCATGCGTCTACTGTATGCAACCACGCTGGCAAGATGCGTCTTAGGAGGAGGGAGAAGAAGCAGAGCCCATTGATGATATGAATGAGAGAGAGAGAGAGAGAGAGAGAGAGAGGGAGAGGGCCTGAAATCACACACCTATAGAAGACCACTTCCTGTACTCACCTGGTGACACCGCTGGGCTTCAGATGGCTGCTGGTACTCCTATATACTCAGCTCTTTATACAACGGGTACCATGGATGTGTCACAAAAGCATAAATACATATTTTACATAAACATTATAATATCTATCTATCTATCTATCTATCTATCTATCTATCTATCTATCTATCTTATCTATCTATCTATCTATCTATCTATCTATCTATCTATCTATCTATCTATCTATCTATCTATCTATCTATCTATGTATCTGTTCTTGGCTTTAACTCTGTGTGTTGGGTCCCTATAGCAAAATTATTAAGTTACGTGCCATCTTTGTAATCTATCTCAAAGGCAATTCCCCTAATGATACAAAATACACTTATGCTTTTAGTGTAACTGTATAGAGATTGACAAAATCTATCTATTTTTCTACCCCCTAATTATATCTATTTACCCTCCCTTATCTCCATAACCCTCCCTCTCCATAACCCTTCCTCATCTCCATAACCCTCCCTCTCCATAACCCTTCCTCATCTCCATAACCCTCCCTCTCCATAACCCTTCCTTAACTCCACAACCCTTCCTTATCTCCATAACCCTCCCTCTCCATAACCCTTCCTCATCTCCATAACCCTTCCTTTTTTCCATATCCCTCCCTCTCCATATCCCTTATTTATCTCCATAACCCTGCCTCTCCATAACCCTCTCTCTCCATAACCCTTCCTCATCTCCATAACCCTCCCTCTCCATAACCCTCCCTTATCTCCATAACCCTCCCTCTCCATAACCCTTCCTCATCTCCATAACCCTTCCTCTCCATAACCCTCCCTTATCTCCATAACCCTTCCTCATCCCCATAACCCTCCCTCTCCATAACCCTCCCTTATCTCCACAACCCTTCCTTAACTCCATAACCCTCCCTTATCTCCATACCCTTCCTTATCTCCACAACCCTCCCTCATCTCCATAACACCTCCTTGTGCAAAGTCAGAGAGCACACAAAGTTATCACAAGCTCACAAGAGTTCTGGCAGGATGAAGAACGTTTTGCACGTATTGAACACATATAACAAGACATATTATACAGACCAAAGGGAGGGAATAAGAGAAGTTCATCGTCAGGGTTTCCATACACTTTAAAGCTGAACTCCGGGCAGATAGAAAATATAGAAATCAATGCAGCTCTGTAACCATTAATACATGATTGTACAATATTAGAGGGGCGAGCGTGAAGATACTGAAAGGGACCAAACAGATACATTCTTTCACTTATCCTGATGAAGGATACTTTTTTTTTTTAAGGTGACAGCTATTTGTAGCCCAATGAGATTTAAAAGTGACAGTCACGTGACTAAAATGACGACACTGATGGTAGCCCAAAGTGCAGTATCAATTGAACTTCTCCTAATTGACCCCCCTTTGGTCTGTTAAATATAGCACTGAAAGTGTTAAAGGAGAAGTATGATGGTAGGCAACCTCGGCGCTCCAGCTGTGTTGAACCTCCAAATCCCATGATGCCTCCGCCTCTGGGAGTCATGCCTGTGACTGTCAGCCGTGCAATGCCTCATGGGACTTGTAGTTCCCGCAACAGCTGGAGTGCCCGGGTTGCCTACCCCCGGTCTAATGTATGATATTACCTTGAGACAGAATCATGTAATTGTTTAGCCATGCGTCTTTGGACATGAGCAGTATCTGGAGCCCAATTCCCAGTGCAGACCGAGCGACGGTCGGAGGAGGCCATTACAGAACGAGCGTTCAGCCCCCCCCCCCCCCCCTTTTTTTCTGTGTTTTTTTTCCACTTTCAAACTCCCCGCC